AAAAAATAATTTTTAAATATAAAAAACTATATTTTAAATATAAAATATAAATTAACAATTCTTTTTAATGAATTTTAATTATAATTTAAATATTGTTAAATAATGATATAAACTTTATTAAAAATTAAATGATTTAAATTAAAAAAAGAAAAAAAAATCAAACTGGAACCTTAAATTCTTGTTTCTATAGAAACTAGAATGTATTCATCCGATTTCTATAGAAATCAGAACATTAAAATTTTAATGAATTTTAATTATAATTTAAATATTGTTAAATAATGATATAAACTTTATTAAAAATTAAATGATTTAAATTAAAAAAAGAAAAAAAAAATCAAACTGGAACCTTAAATTCTTGTTTCTATAGAAACTAGAATGTATTCATCCGATTTCTATAGAAATCAGAACATTAAAATTCGTTGTCTATAGAACAAATGTTTCGGTTTCCTTAATTATCCGTTTTCTATCAAACTAGATTAATATTTTTCGGTTATGTATACGTTACTTGAAACTCCATATTCGCTCCTTTATGAATAAATTTGATAGCGTGCTTTTACCGCTTAATTTTGTATAAAATGTACTCCTAATTATAATTTGGTCTTGATAATACACACTGATTTTATAAAACAACTTTACAGCTCAAAAAATATGACTATTCCCTACAACTTTATATTTCAAGCCATATTAAAATTTTCAAGCCATATTAAATTTTTCATATGTACTATACAAATATAAAACATATCTTGAAAGTATAACATTGAATGATATATATCTTACGCTTATTTCAATTAATAAGTCACCCATGCAATGGATGAATTTGACTAATCTAAAATTTCTTTTCTCATTGATTATATACCTAATTAATTTTTAATTAGTGTTTACTTTAAAAATTAACCCGATTCCGCTGCTCTCCTCATCATCACCAAGCATCCAAACCTAGAAAAGTTATTATGTTCGGACAAAAAACCGAAAATTTGGACGTATATTCAGCAATACTGAGTGCTCGATACCAAACTTTAGGTGACGTGGCACATGATTATTGATCTCTGGAAGAGTTCGGTGTTTGGACTTTTATTTGGTCCAGTGAACGTACGTAGAGCTATGTTCGACTGGCACTGAGATCCCGCCACGTAGCAGACACAAAACGAGAAATACTGAGCAATGCCAACAATAACGAGAAATATCATTATGTGAAGACAAAAAAAAACTCGGTATTTTTTAGTATTACTCGGTATTGCTCGGTATTACTCAGTATTGATCTTCACAAAACGATATTTCTCGTTATTGCCAAACAATCCATAACAATGCCGAACAAATATCGAATAAAAACCGAGTAGTTCCTCATTCGAACATTTCGGCCGGAACAGCACATCTCTATTTCAGTTAGTTTATTTCTTAATTTTCACACTGTATACTCGTTTGACACGTGAAGACCTATGCGGCGTCCTCCGACATTCACCTCTCCAAAAAAATCAGCAACCCCTCTGAATATTTGATTAGGAATTTCCTTGTCATCTCCATTCTTCTCCTCCTCCTCTGCAGCTGCTGTCAACAACCGCACCGTCGTCAATGGCGGTTAAATCAACATTTTCTTCTGCTCCGCTTTTCCGCCTCCAACGATCCGTCTTGCACTTTTCTCGTTTATCAGGAAACTCGCTGAAGCTCAACGGGAAGGGAAACTCACCGAGTTCCGTGGGCGTCCGTGCTGGTGTTGGGAGCCCTAGTTCCGATGGACCGGCTCTAAAGGAATCTACAGATGCGGCTTCCGCTATCGATTTTCTCACGCTTTGTCATCGTTTGAAGGTATCGGGTACTGGATTGTCCAGGCTCATTGGCCTCTGCGTTTCGAATTATCTGTTTTAGGCATGGAAGCATTTGGTTTATCAGTCTCTGTTTCTGGAATTAGCTTAATGGCGTTTGATTTTCACATAGATCTTTTTTTTTTAAAGTGATCGAGTTATTGATTTAGCACCTGCATTTCTTATTTCAACCGTACGACTTAAGCGATTATGTTCCTTTAGTTCTCTGCTCTATCATTGGTCCTTATTGAATAATCAATGGCTAAAGGACATTTTTAGTGGTTTGGATCATCGTATAAATTGACAAATTAGGAAGTTGATTTATGTTTGAGGAGCCAAGAAGAAATAATTGAGCAAGACATCGTTGATGTTATATGTGCTGGACATTTGATGGTCCAGGGAAAAGGGCCATCTGTTTCTTGAATGATATTGCTGGAAGTTGTGCTTAAGGAGCATGAAGTTTGGAAAAGATTCATCTCGAGAAAGTGAAGACATTTGCAAATGTCTGAAATCTAAAGATAATGAAATGACCTGGATAAAGGCTAGATATGGTGTTTTGGACCATAGGACCTTTAAATTGAAGCTTCATTTATGATGTTTAATTAGGTTAAAAATAATATGGTCACACATAATTTTCTATGATGCTGCTTGGGTTTCTTTCTAGTGGATCATGTTGTCAGGCATACTTTTACTTACTTCTGTATTTTTTTTTTGGAGAGGAATGATACATACTTTTGTCAATGAAAGAGAAAATTTGTTTTACTAAAGAGGATCTAGCTACTTTCCTTTTTTTTGTAGATTATTGAGACAATTTGCACTAATTCTCTGCTATATCATCCATGCCTCCATGTGATTTCGAATTCAAGTAGCTCAATGTCTCTTTTTTGACTTAACTTTATATGCACTTATCTGCATGCATGCATTTGATTGTTTCCGTGCATGTGTGAATTTGTTGTGTGCCAATCTGTGTGTTTTGGTTAATTGCATATATCTAGATGGACTTTTCTCCTTCTAAGAGGATAATAGGCATTCTCTTCTCAGGTTAATATTAACGTTTACTACTTCCTATTGGCTTCAAACGTAAAATTACAGAGTTTATATTCATTTACAGCAAAAAAATAGTTATGGCTAAGTGCCCACAAGTTTAAAGATTTAATCATTCATTTTTAGCATGCAAATGGATGGTTGGACAATATATAGCCCATCTAAAATACTCAATTTTACCCTTATATTTCACCGATCAAAATTCAATTGTTGAATATGTTATGAAGATCATGAACAATCCATGTTTAGTTTTCAAATAATTTGTATTACCCCACTATATGAAAATAATAATTAGCGAACATTGAGAGATTCATTTTGCTTCAGATGGCTAATCAAACAATTTTAAAAATATATGAAATTATTCTTTCCGCTAGTTTTAATTGGTGGATAGTATATATTCTTCTTTTAAGCAAGTCTTGATCAAACATTTTGAATAAATGAGTACAACAAAACAGAACTACAATGCGAAAAAAAGAAAAATGAAAACACAAAGTACAACAAAATAAATTACAAATAAGACACGCTGCTCATCAAATGGAAATTGATCATGTAATTGTGGTGGTTGCGACTGAAAGTAGTATTGCAAAGGAGATATCTGCTCCTAAACAAAGCATGACTGGCCTCATGATGTTGCTGAAGCCACTCCCAATGTGCTGTGGGCTCTTGAATGCGTGTCCAATCTCAGCTCTAAGCGATCAAATCTCTCAATCCATGAGTCAAGAGGTGATGACTAGAATGCTGGGTAGGTGCTATATAGATTGGTGCTTCAGGGGATAATGCTCCCCCTTTCTCATATGAATCGTGCTCCTCTACCTCCTGTGATTTGCGACGCCTATCGCTATAGAGATAAAGAAGATGAAAAGCACTATCTATGAAAGTAGATCAGGAAGTGATCAGTTGGGGTATGGAATATTAGGCTGTACTTTGCATATAATATGTAGGCTATGATATGTTATATTCTTAGGTTTTGCCTACGACGTGCTGTAAGGTTCCTAATACTGGTCTTGTTTTTCATAATCATATATCCACATTAAATTCAGTGTCATTCATACATAAATAAGTGATAATGCATGATAGTGGAGTGATATTGATCTTATCGGCAGCTTTAGATATAATTGAATTTCTGAGAACATATTTAATACGAAAATTTAAGACTATAGTGCTGATTAGAGATTGACGAAGGTTTATCGGGGTGTTTCTAAGAGTAAGGTTCATTTGGTTCTAATTGTAGTAACTAATGATGGTGATTTCCTGGGATTTAATGTTAATGGTATATACATGTAGGTGTTCGTAAAAATCATGGTAGGTAATTTCTACTAGGCACCTTCAAACTTAAGATTAGAGAAGTTCATTTGACATATATTCGTTAGCAAACGAAAAATTCAACAATAACTCACTATTGAAAGGAATCGTAAGGATAAGTAAAAACGAAAGTGTGATCCATAAGAAAAGATCTAATACTTAATATTTAATGTTTTCTTGATTGATTATCCTAGAAATAGTTATTATGGTGGTCTTATATTTGTGATATGTAGCTTCATCATCCTCTGGTTGAAATCTATTATCTACCAGCAGTCGAGAGGGTCCCCCTGTGAGAATACGAGCTCTCTTGCATGTCATCGGAAATACCAAATGACGTGAACAAGGGAGGAGAAGGATTGTAATAGAAGATTAGCGTGCTTTAAAATGAAATGTTTTCTTCTATTTATAGACTTTGTTGGATTATACAACATGATTGAGATTATAACATAAAATTAGAAGAATCCAAATCGTCCCATTCGAATAGTATGAAGATTTTGTCAGATCGTCCAGTAGAATCGAATTTTTCTTCATCATGAGAGGTCTTTTGTATGATCATTGACTAAATGGATCGTCTAATATGAACATGTGCTTGTGTAATATATGTAATAAAGGATCATACCGAGTGAATTGACTTCGTCCCAATAGTTTTTGCCACATTATTCATACAGTACGAATCCTAATAATTAGCTTGATCTGAGTCAGTGTCAAATGAATGGTTAATGTCTATAGATCATCATGTACGATGATGATCATATCGTACAATCACCATTGTATTGTATGATGTGTAGAATTTTATGTTTGTGTAATGATCATGGACAATTCCACAAGTTAATATATACACAACTTTTTGACAAAAAATTATGAAAACACAACTAGGGAAAAAGTCAAAACCGACGTAAGTTAGAAAAATAAACTATAAATACACGTGCATGCATACACAAGACTAAAACACATAAACATGCAACAAAATTACACAAATACAAACACAAGCTAAAACAAAAATTTTAAGATAAACAACAATCATATCATGCAATAACCTCAATTTTTTGAGCACTTATATCAATAACACTCAATCTAGTTCTAAATGTGCTTAACCTATAAATTATTAGGGGTTTGATAAAAATGTCTTTTGTTAGTACAAAAGTCCTCTCAATATGCACAAAAAGTTGAAGATCGTAATGGACGATCACTGATCTTACTGGACTATTTGACCAAATCTTTACACTCTTCAGACAAGACGATTTGGATTATTCTAATCTTATGATACGATCTCTATTATACTGTACGATCCAATAGAAACTATAAATGGAAGGGAAAATTTCATTTTAAAGCACGCCAAATTTCTATTCCAATCATTCTCCCCTCTTGTTCAAGTCCTTCAGTGTTCTCGGTAACTGACAAGAGAGCCTTATTCTCGTAGAGGGGTCCCTCTCGACTTGACAGATAATAAATTCCAATCAGAGGATGATGAAACTACCTATCATAGATATAGGGCCACTACAATCACCATTTTTTTAAAAGAAGTCATTTGATGAGGGGTAGACGATCAAGAGAAATTAAACAAATAACTTGCAAATTTAAATTTCAACCAACAATATTTGCCATCATAAAAGAAAATAGGAGATTGTTATAATCCGGGAGCTTGACCTAGTATTTTACTGATTACAAATATTATTTTGATGGTCAATAATTATTTCAGGTACAATATACACCGAATAAAATTTAAGAATCAAAACTCAAGATAGTGCATCGTTAAGGCCTAAGTCTGTTTGTGTTTGATAGTGTGTGATTTTATATATTTTTTAATCATTTTATGTATAGGTATATGTTAGCAAAATAATCGAGCACGCACTCACAAGGGGGATGAAAATTAAATATTTGAATTTTTTTTTATTATCGTATTGTACGATTCCAATTATACTATAAGATAAGTTAAACCAGAAATTAATTCAAATACTAAATTAAATTAATTAAATTGAGGTATAATTAATCGTTCTCTATGACCTCCAATCGTATATGATGACTAACTATTTTGCTTAAACCCTATCGTTGAATCATTATTACCAAAATTAAACAAATTTGAAATTTGAACTTATCGTACAGTACGAACATTAATAAATATTGCCTAATATAATCTCGAGGATTAAAAAATCAAATCATGTTTAAATCCTAATTTATGATTGTATTATACTGTCCATATCTTACAGGTCGATTAAACAAAGCGCTAGTTGGCTAAATCTAGATTTGTACTTTTTGATATTTGATTCGATATAACTAATCATATAAGACTTTTAGTGATGGAATTGAACTAATTGGGCAATAGGAATTGAGTATTATACTGTACGATCAGAGCAATTAAATTTGAAATTAGGGTTTTAATTTAAATAGTCCACTTTAATTCTTTCTACAAAGGCTTGAGGGTCTGAAGTTGAGTAGTAGAGGATGTTTTCTAGCGAGAGAGCTTGAGAGAAAGAGAGGGGAGTCATTTTGCTTGTGTGAAGTCCAAATTACTTTGGGGGAGAGAGAATGTGAGGTTGAGGGAGTTCTTTCTTGAGGGTGTTAAGGGATGTGAGGGTTTTCCCACAGTTGTTCTGGTCAGCTTGCACCTTTGATCATCTGTGTTTTGGTTATGTAACTCTTGGAGAAGGGCTATAGGAAAATTCTTTGGGAGAAAAACTTCTAGCTGAGGAGGATAGGGGACGACATCTTCACTAGATCGAGAGGCGGAAGGAGGGATAACATCTCCAGCGTAGCGAGGAGCTGAAGAAGGGTTTTACATCTTCGTTGTGTGAGCAGAAGGAAAGAGTAACATCTCTGTTGGGTTGGGAGGCGGAAGGAGGGTCTTTGGGGTCAGAAAAGCCTGTAAAGGTCATTCTCTATATGCTAAGAGTGAGGGATTTCTCCATCTAGCTGAGTGCCAAAAGAGCGTGAGCTAGTTCAATACCTAAAGAGGAGGACATTTGAGGAGTGGACGTAGCTCGATTCAACCGAACCACTATAAATTTAGTTTGTATATTCTTACTTTCTTGCACTTACTTTTTTGTATCTTCTTTCTGCACTTTGGTTTATTTAGTTGATTTTTGGAAAGTTGTGATTTAAAATTTTTTGAGGTTGAAAGATGAAAAAAAAAGAATATTTTCTAAATGTTTGAGAAATAAAAATATTTGTTTCTTGTTTTTTGGTTTGAAAATTTTTCTTAAAGCTTCCACCCAATTCTCTGATTTGATTTTCAGTAAGAAATGTTTTTAAAATTTCAATTCACCCCCCTTTTAATGCACCTTAGTACTTTCATACTGTGTCATGAACTTTTGTACTCGTAGGGCAAATTCTTATGATTTTTACCTAACCAAAAGGGTTTAAGACAAACGGAAAAAGGACATTCCTGTTTTATTTAGAGCTAGTTTTATGAAGTATGAAGAAGAAATATTTGACACTTAGAACCTTGTTGGGTTTGGGTAGCTCTAATCTGCTTTAAAATGCGAGTTTTCAGTTCAAGGTTACAGTGAAAGAAATTATGATCATAAAATTCAGGCTTTTCCTCGATCGGATCACCTCTGTTTACTTTTCTAGCTGCAATAGAAGTTTAAAATGACTATCTGTAGCAAGTTGGGTTGATTATGCTTTGTTGACCAAAATTTTACATGAACAATTGTACTCTTATCATTTTTGTTATTTTACTGCTTAAGCCACCTGTAATGTTTAATTGGCGCCTTGTGTACGCACACTTGTTTGGCTTTTGGATTTTATAAATGATGTGTAGCTTTGGGAAGAGAGACCATCATCATCATTAGCCTTATGCCAACCATTTGTGGTTAGGCTTTGTGGATTGTATTCTTCGTCTATTCTTACTCAGCTCACGGCATTTTACATTCTATTCTACAATTTTTTTTGCTCAACTATTGGAAGAGGCAAATTAGGGCAAATGTGATTAATCTCATAAAATGCATACAATACAATATAAAAAGTCATTTAGGGGTTGTTTGATCGGTTGCTTTTTGGATATAAAGTAAAGCAAATGCAAGAGTTCTGAAAAATTGGCCTATTGGATGGTCTCCTTTTAAATGCAAAGTATTTTTTGAATGAATTTAAAATTTACCATCTAGTTCATTTTCTCATCCAATTTAAGAGTTGTTTTGTTGACTAAAAAGGAATGCAGTGTAACAGGAATACTTTGGAATTGTTTGAATGAATATGCAGTAAATAAAAGTGAATGATTTTTTTGTTTGCTTTGAAGCAATGGATATAATGTAAAGTCCAAAAATGGTGGCCGCCATCTAGGGTGGTGGCAGTGTTGGCCGGTGGCGGCGTTTGGCTGACATTGGTGGTGGCCGGCTGTGGGTGTTGATGGAGGCCGACGACGATGGTGGCCGTCGGCGGGTGGTGGAAGTTGGCTGCGGCTGGTGGAGGAGGCTGTTGACAATGGGTTGCGGTGGTGGCCGGTGGTGAGTTGCGGGTGGATGACAGTCAAGCGAGCTTGCTTTTAGTGTAAACAATTCTCGCTCAAAACTGGTTGAGTTTGGTTTGCTTCAAAAATGAACTAAAATGATTTACACTATATGTACTTCACTTTGTTGTACTTTGTATTCCAACCAATGACCAAAATTTTTAAAAAACCCTGCATTTGGAATAGTTTACACCACTTTGTATTCCAACCAAACAGACCCTTGGGTGAATTACAAATACACATTTTATGTGATGTAATGGTGCTTTCCACTACCTGCCCCCAGCTGATGACCACCATCAACCATCGCTACCCACCCTCGTCACTATCGTCTCCCATTATAATTGCTTGCTGCTGCTGTTGGCTACCGTAATTGGTCATCGCCACTTGTCGTTGTCATCCACAACCAACTATTGTTGCCATTGCCGCCAGTTATCACCCGCCACCAATCGCCATTGTCTCCACCGCTCAATGTCATTGGCCACCACCGTTCATCGCTGCAGTTACTATTGGTTATCATTTTGTCCCCTAACCACCATTGGCCACCTCTAATCCATTATTATTCCAAATACATTGTTATTTTATTCTACATTTCTCTACATCATACAAAAAAAAAAAAATCTTACATTTGTAGTGTATTCAACCAACTCGAATGTATTTTCAATACACTACTTTTACTTCGCATTACATTTATTTTACACATCTCTTTTTCAGCCAAATGAGCAACCCCTTGCTCATTTTATTTTGCATCTCATAATGCATCTTTTATCCTGTAAGTTTCTCATTCTGGGATTCTTCATTTTTTATTGATGAGAATCTTATTTCTAATGTTCCGATGGGAAATAGCATAAGATATCCTTGCATTCTTTATTTTCAGACAACTAAGCGAAAGGGCTGGGTCAATCATGGAATTAAGGGGGCGGAGTCAATTGCAGATCACATGTACCGCATGGCATTGATGGCTTTGATTGCTGGGGATCTACCAAATGTAAATAGGGAAAGGTTGATTTTATTCCAAAGTTGACAACTTAATTTCTTGTCTCTGTTTATGCTTTTTGTAAAATAGCAAAACTCTTTATGTGCATACTTTCTTATTTCAATTTGAAGGGTATATTTACACAACTCTATTGGAGAAGAATTTCTTTTGCATGGTTTGGTTTTACTTGAGCACTGCCATAGATATTTTTTTATATTCTAGTCACTAGTACTTCATATTTTTTATATTTTCTAACATTTTCTTCATTGAAACAGGTGTATCAAGATTGCCATTGTGCACGATATTGCAGAAGGTAATTAACCTCTGGAATTATGTCTTCCCATAAGCTTTTTGACCTTGCACAAATGTATTTTGATCTGCTGACTCACTCTGATATGGTTTGCAGTGTTCTGCGCAATTCTAACTCATGTATATGAAGCAATAGGATTTTTCTTGAACCTTTTGTACAGCATGTCATTTGAGTTGTTTACATGTTCAACCTTGAAGTGAACCATTACAGTTTCATTGTTCTTGGTGAACTTTGTCAACACTACACTAATATTGGCATGCAGTCCATGGCTTCATTATAGAATAATATATGATTAAAAATGCAAATATTTTCTTCTTAAATATAGAATATTTAACTCAAATAGTATCAGTTAAAAGGAAGGATACGCCGCCTCTGAAGTTTTATTGATAGTTTATAGTCTAATGTTGAACATGCCGAAGACATAGTTTCTAGTGCATTCTTATAGATATATATGGTGTAAACCTAATGTTTGTAGCACCACAAGCCTTGCAAATATGATTTTTAACAAAAATAATTCCAGCCTGCTCTTTATTGATATTCTTTGGATCAATATGACAGCCATTGTTGGTGATATCACCCCCTCAGACGGAGTGCCCAAAGCCGAAAAAAGCAGACTTGAGCAGTCTGCTCTGAATGAAATGTGTGAAATTCTAGGTGGAGGGATTAGGGGTATGCCATGAGTCTAATGATTTTTATTTATAACAGGTAGTCTGAACTTTTACTGCTTCAATTATCTCATTCATTTCTGTATTAACTTTGTACATGCAGCTGATGAAATAAAAGAACTTTGGGCAGAATATGAGAATAATTCTTCCACTGAGGCTAGCCTAGTGAAGGATTTTGACAAGGTATGTGTATTAGCTTTTGATAGATTTATGTTTCATTTAACTCATGCAATTTTAATAACTATGTTTCTGCCTTTCTGGTTAGTGATAATGTTCTGTTATAATGTTCTGTTCTTTAAGAGATTTTTCCGCTCTCCCACTATCCATTAGGAGACACGCACACAATCGAAAATCAATAATGAGTAACATCTTTCTTTTTTAGATTTAAACGAGAATTTGACTTTTAACAGGACACAATGGAGAAAAAAGATTCATATAGCCGACCCCACGTAGTGGGACAAAGGCTTGATGATGTTGTTGTTATTGTAATGAGTAACATCTCAGGCTTTGTTTAGGAAAACTTTCATACTGTTTTCTAAAATGACTTTCTAGTATAAAAATTTCTTATTCAAGAATTTTTTTACAAGAAAGTTGTTTTAGAAAACATTAAAAAAGTTGTCCCAAATGAAGTCTTATATTTGTTAAATTGGAAACAATTAACTTTTCTTTATTTGACACAGGTGGAAATGATCCTTCAAGCATTGGAATATGAAATGGGTACGTTACAGAATATCTTTAAAAGCGAGCCTTATTATTATTCATCTCTCTACATGTATATAGAAATGCAATCTGGTGATAAACATGCATCAAAGGTTTTTAATTTGTAGTACCTTAAATTATTACGTCGGTGGATCTAGAGTATAGGGAGGGAGATCAGGATCTGTAACAGTCAACACATTTTGCGTAGATGTGCTCCTGAGATATACATGCATGTGCTATACAATTACGTGCATCTTGTATTGTATTAGTTGTTGTGTTAATGATAGTGAAGGAAAATATGAGTTATTAATTGATAAGTACAATTTTTATTTGCATTAATTGATTTATGTTAGATATTATCCATAGTTGTTTTTGTTTTCATCAAAACTTAAATCTAAAGCGTTTCTATTGGATTAGGTTTTTCATTTCCCACCTCTTTTATTTAGGGTCTATTTATTTGGAGCTTAAACCTAAGCTAAGTGTTTAAGCATGGCAAGCTGTTTGGCTGGTAAAAAAGATGAGCTAAGAAAAGCTGAGAAAACTGTTTGGTTGGTTTTTGGGTTGAGCTAGTGCTCTTCAATCATCAAGCTCTTTTATCAGTTAATAAAGATGCATTATTTCGCTTTATGATGCACTATTTATCCTTATAGAAAGAGAAAAAATAGAAATATAATTAATGATTCTAAATATAAGAGGATGTACTACAGTTTAGGTAGGAGTGGCCTTGATTTTTTATTGCGAGCAAGCAAAAGAAGGTGGTATGTAGAGGAAGGTGGCACAAGTTGCGGTGATCATTGGTGGATACTCAAACCAAAACATCTCAAGATTTATCAATGAGATTCATTAGTGGGCTGCTAGCTTCGATTGAGGATGAGTATTTTAGTTTTAACACAACTTTTGCAAGAACAGTGCCACAATAGGTGTATTCTGTCACGACACGGCTCGGTGAGCTCGCATAGGCGAGGCGGGAACGGAGGTCGGACGTTAGACTAAACTATCACATTTCTAAATCAATCTCCATGGTATTTGAAAGATCCACTAAACTTCATAATATCTATAAACTGATATAATAAACATAAATACCTTTCTTCTTGAGCCCCACGTCTACGATAGACATTTCCGCCCCTTCTACTCATTTTGATTTAAAGTAATTATACCTGAAAAATGTTAACAACTAATAATAAGCCAAAGCTCAGTAAGTAAAACACGATTCTAAACTACAGAAATCAAGGCAAAATGAACAATATGCTTGACGCCACAATTTATTTAAAACATAACATAATTTGATTTCTTACAAACATAACATTAACATAAACATAAATCATAAATTCATATCATTCATATTCATTTTCATATCTATATCATTATTCATAACTTTCTCATTTCGTATATATTACAACCGTCACAAGAGCCACCGTCTAGTATCATAAAGGTACTCCTTTACTAATTTTCCTTTTCCTTATCCTTTATCATTTTAACATGCACGAGTACAGCGTCCCCAGCTAGTACCATAAGGGGTTGAGCTTCATCAATTCAGCATGCACATATAAGCATTCAATAACAATCATAACATCTCATATCATTTCATTTCATCTCATTTCTATAACATATGAACTTGCCATAAGATGTAACATATAAAATTTCATGATCAACCATTGGACAAGAGTAAAGATTCTATAAACATATTTGGCCTATCAAAACATACAACTTGAGAGAAAACAAATGTATTACTGTAATAAAGAACCATGAATACTTACAGAAATTAGGAAAATTGATTCTCTTCGCTAGTACTCCTTTCGAAGTCTCCTCAAAACACCTATAAGAATTAATTTCTCCTTCAAAATATTCATAATAATTCTAAATTAAAGTTTTCCTTCTCTTTTTAAACTACCCTAAGTTCTCTCTCTCTCTCCCTCTCCCTCTCTCCAAATGATCACATAAAACAAGTATATATTTTAAAAATTCATATTTTTGTATAATTACATAATTTAACTAAATTAACCCTTTTTTCCATAACCTAAATTAATTTAAAATAATTTTTTTATTTTCGGATTTAAAATAATTAGAAATTAGGACAATACAATTTTGTGAGAAAAACTCAATTTCTTCTCTTAAAAACCCTCTTAGGACCTTAGGAACCACATTTGTAAAAGCACTTTCAAAATTTCCAACTTTGGAGAAAAACCCTAATTTTTTCAATTCTATACTTTTAAAGAAAAACTTCATTTTCATGCATAAAAATATCTCCTAAACCTTCCTTAATATTTCTCCTAAGTTCCTCTAAGAATTTCTAAATTTCTTCACAAACCCTAAAATTTTCTCCTTCAACAAATCTAAGAGGAAAAGAAGATTTATAGGTTTGAGAACGTACCTTAGACTTCTCTTGACTTCCCTCTTCGTTTTCTCTCAAAAAGCTTCGCCGGAAACCGCCGCCCGAAGCCTCCCCACCGCCTTGCCAGTCCGCCCTTCCTTTCTCTCTCGGCTTCGCATTTCGGCCGAATGGACCGAATTTCATTCAGTCCCCCTAAGAGGGATGAGGGCTAGTTTTAATTACATAATGACATAAATGCCCTCGCTTAAACCATATTTTCTTTAGTATTGACTAAGGGTATTATTAGACTTCAGAAATTTTTATCTCTCAAATTAAGAGAAATTAATTATAAGTTTTATATATCAATTTGCTCCAAATTTTGCTTAAAATTTTATAAAGTTATTTTCGTTGAAATCCGACAACTTTGAATTTTTCACTTAAAACTCATCGCGACGCATCGAAAAGTGTGCGAGGTCTAAAATGACATTTTTCAGGTTTTACAATTCTCCCCTCCTAATAAAATTTCGTCCTCAAAATTCACATACAGTATCTAGTTGCAAATCAACCAACATCTTCCATTTCATTTAACATAAACTTCAACATTGGAACAAAACAAATTAAACATCCGATATATCATAACTAAAATAATCTGATCAACCCTAAGACATCTGACATGACATAACAAGATAAACTACTAAATCAAAAACACCAAAACATTAGATTTAACATTTCAACTAACTAAAAATAAGCAATAAAGCCATCTCGATTATCATTGTCAGCATCTACAAATTCATTGGGCTCTTGCTGAGTCAAAGTGTAAACTCGCGGTCTGACATTCTGTCTGGATTGATTTTGCACTGAATCTACAACTGATGGTTCTATTATCTTGAGTTTTCCATAATTCCTCTGTGAAGGTGTTTCATTTGATCTCATTTCTCCTGAAGTCTTTTGAACCAAAGCAGCACAATATTTTGCTATGTGTTCTAGCTGATGACACCAATAGCAAGTGTTGGAACCAATCAAACATTCACCTTTATGTAATCTGTCACACTTAGCACAAGGTTCTGTGACTTTACTTACAGTTGCGCCACTAACTCCACTAGAACTAAACTTGGGCTTCTTCCCATTTGGTCCCTCAGTCTGATTGCTTTGAATATCCTCTTCAAAATTCTTCCTTTTATGTTGGTCCCTACTCCTCTGAGTAGCTTGCAAATATGATTCTATCCTTCGGGCCCTCTCTACCAAAATAGAATAATCTTTAATGCCAAAAGGAACTAAAGGTTGTCTAATGACATCCTTCAAACCAGATAAGAAATGATGGCACTTCTCTTCTGCATTGGGTATCATATGTGAGGCATATCTGAAAACTCTAGTGAACTCGGCCTCATACTGAGTAATTGTTCTATCACCTTACACCAATCTGCTGAATTTATCTTGCATCTATCTTCTAGCTGACATGGGTACATACCAGTCTCTAAATACTTTCATAAACTCCTCCCAAGTAACTTGGCTACTTGGTCTTCCTCCAAAGGTCTCTTGTAGTTGGCTTCTCCACCACCTCTCTGCTTCACTATTGAAAGCATGGGCAGTTAGGGTAACCGTTCTATCTTGAGTGCATGACATTCCTTCCAAGATTTTCTCTATCCTCATCAACCAGTCTTCCGCCTCTGTGGGTCCACCACCTATTCGAAATCATTGTGGAGAGTGTAGATGTCATCGAGAATGAATGCTCATTTGCCTAGGACAAGAAGAGTATTGCATTTAAATGATTATGAGGGAAATTTCTCAATCAACCACTATGGTTAAAATAATATACTATCTCAAAAAATAAAATAAAATTTTCTCACAGGTTCAATATATAATTATGTATGATTTAAAATTAATATTTAATATTTTCTTAAGATTTATGTTGATTAAAATAAAGAAATTAGATAAAGTTTATTTTTGTTCTTAGGTTTGAGTTCCACATAGAAGCAAAGTGGCATATTCAATCTTTCTTCAAGGGGATGGAGATTTGTACTCTTAAGTAAACTCTGAATTAAAGTCGGAACTTATATTTTTAATATTTAAAAAATAGTTCAAAAGGATTTAGCTTTAGAGATTTAATAAAAATGAGGCTCAACTTAAATGGAAAGATATTGTCACGACCCGACCCGACTAGCCCGAGTTAACGAGGCGGGAGCAGTCAGTCGTAAAAAAACACAAATAAAACATAAACAATTTCATTAAGGTTTTAAATGTCAGAACATAAATATTATCCAAATACTTGAAAGAGCCACTAATAACATCAAATAAAAGAGTTCCAAACTGTTCTTCTCACACAACTACTAAAACTTTCAAACCATCAACAGTTACATAAGCTCTCACAAACTACACAGGGACAGAACAAAGACTCAACAGAAAACATAAAAGAAACCTCTCTTCCTGAGGTCCCCTACGACGGTATGTGTACGGTCGTCGTGCAACAATCACTTCTTAACAGTTTCTCCTGAAAAACATTTTCAAATGTAGGATGAACCAACGCTTAGCAGGTGAAAAACATTTATCTCAAATTTATGAAATATTTTTCTTAACATATCATTAAACATGAAATAGAAAAATGATCAATATAAATATTGATGCTTGCATTTATAAAACAGTTTCAATAATCATTTCTTAAAATATTTTTCTTATTCCATAACATTCTTTTCTTTTCTTTTTCCATAAA